CTCTTTGGGGCTCGTCGCGATACGTGCACGAACAAGAGGTTCGTCACCGAAATGTGCCCGACAGCCGCTGCTCAGCGCACAAGCAGCAGTCACTGCGAAAGTACAAGTCGTACCGAAGCCGGGGAGATCATGACCGAGATTGCACGCTCGATGAGACGCGCAAAGAAGACGCTCAGAACATTCCAGGGTGTCTTCACTCTACTCCGCCCGTACAGGTTCTCCACTGTATGCGCGTTTCGATGTTGCAGCTAGAGCTGGGTCAGGGGCCCCTCCCGCACCGGATACCACTATCTGCACCCCAGACCCTAGCTGCTTACCGGCTATCGTCACCAAAGTGGCATGCCGGAGAACGTCTCCAAGTCGCCATGCAATTGTTTGCGATAAGCAATCGTCGACAGGAATCGGAGTCAAAAGGCCCTATCGTGCATACTCAACACTCACCACCCACCGGTGTACATGCAGCATGCCAGCTGAGACAATGTTAATAATAGGCGCATAATGCGCATCTTGCATTTCCCTCACCTATGAACCGTTGCGGGGTATCCCGTTACAATTTCGGCTGCAGTAACGCGGTAGGTGGCCTTTCCTGTGGGAGCTGCCTCTAGCCGATGCGTTGCCTGTCTAATCGGTGAGGGAGCAAACGTTCGATTGGCGAAGACTCAGTCAGCGGGAAAGCACAGCGCGGTTGGTGTTACTTTTCTTGTCAACGTTTCGCCTGCGTGGGATACTGATTCGACGACCGGTGTTGCGACTGCATGTGCTGTTGGGGTTGATGGCCTGGATGGGGACTTGGCTTGCAAGGCGGATCTGAGCACATCTTCCTGTCACACTGCTAGTAACGCCTTGGAGATCCTACCGACGCGGCTACCGTTGAGGGAGCCTCACTTTCTCAAGGCTAAAGGCAAGCTTGGTGGTTGTGTCATGTACCTTCTCTTTCGCTACACAGGGCTGCCCGTCGGTGTGATACGTCCGCAGTCGCGGTCCACGGGTTACTCGGGGACGCGAAAGCGATGTCTGTATGGGGTTGTGGGATCTGCGGGTATCTCCTCCGCCCGCCTTCCACACGCCTACCCATCTTGGCAACTGCCCAGGTGTCAACATCAGAGATATCCGCATCAAAGGACTTTGTATGGCCGGGTCGTTGTACCGGTGAAGTTGCTGAATATAGTCGAATACGAGTGCAAACAAGTTTGACTCTTGTCTAGACCCACGCGCGCGCCTACTCCGAGTATATACACAAAGTATAAAGAAGAAAAAGCAACCGCGAAAACACGTGCTAGGTTACCCAGGTGTGTAAACCTAATCGTCGAGTCGCGTCTAGCGTACAATCGGCATCGACAACCGACATAATCACATCATTCGACATCACCGGCAGCATGAATCGGATTTGCCTCAAGAGTCAAAATACGATGTCGCACGCGCTACAAGCCTGTCGTACTCCTAGCATGAGGCATAAAGGTCTTCGGCGACTGCGAGACAAGGTATGGCAACCACGCGCCCCCAAGGAAGCTGAACTTGCCGATGGAAAGCGAATGTGCCGCAACCTTATCCCGCCTGGCAGCAACAACCGTGACAAGTTCACGCAACGGAGTCTTCTCCGCAACACCTCAATGACGCCCTTTTCCAGCTCATTTCCCAGCATTTTGAACCAAAGAAATGCTCATTGCTGCCCAACGTTGCTTCACCGTATCAAACTCTACTCGTACTCCGTGCCATGTTCGCCGTTTCTAGGTGTGTGCCTCGGGACCCGTGGGACATCGCCGTCTACTGCTTTGTCAAGTTTATCAAATGATGAAATTTCCCTTGACCGCTGCACAGGCAATGGAGAAAGGTCCGATGACTGGCGGAAAACAGGTCACTTTCAGCAATGATGCATGATCGACAGGATACAGTGCACTTTGTAGTAGACGCTGCGCGAAGTAGATGAATAGGAAAAGGAGTCCATGCAGCAGGACTGCGACTTTGGAGAGTGCAGCATACGCGAATGGGAAGAAGGAGTTGTACGTTGCGACCTCCAACACGTACAAGGTTACCCCAAATGATCGACGTGCCTGCACCCGGCAACCAGCGCATCAGCATCTTACTCATGCACACATTGTCCAACACGTACGATATGCCAGACAATTCCGAACATCAACCGCAGTACGCGCTCAGTAAACAATTTGTCGCAGAAATTCCCAGCCTCCCAGCCCAAAAATAATCTCGTACGAGAATCCACCTTCACCGCACCCTCCTTAGTCGCATCCATAGTGTAAGCAAGTACAGTAGTACGTACATCGACAAGCCGAGCCCCTCCAAAACCCGGCACCAAGTCCGGTACGTCACCTCATCCCGCCGTAAAGCTTCCGAGCAGCGTCCCACTCTAGCTTGCAACGGAGCACGTGGGTACCGTAACTAGCACTAGCTTCAACACCCGTCATCAATAACTTCTGTCTTGTCTCTGCTGCTAGTCCAACTTTCGAGGCTTCAGGGTCCGCGCTACTTCTGATCGTCTTGACCGGAACCCGCCGTCACGTTTTTTTCTGCCTTCGCACGCTTCGCACTACAAGCTCGCTCGAGCCGCAGGTAGCGCCGGGGGGGATTGGGGATCAGTGTCGATTGTGCAAGCACGCCAGGGACAAGTACGTCTGTCAACGTTGCTAGTGAACCAGATTCTGCGTGCAGTAGCTCCGCGTAACCATATTGGATGTTGGAGGGTGCTGTTCTCTGCTTTTTTGGCGTGATTTATTGCCTATTTGGGCAGACGTTGGAACTTGCCAGGCGGTTAACCTTGATAGAGAGCGATGCATGATAGTTTCTTTAGTCAGATAAAGGGTTCACAATCGTGCAGTAAACATGACAACATGTGCCGCTCCCCGTCGTGCGCATACGTTTTCCGCCGTCATTATTGCTGTTGTTGCGGTGAGGGAAAAGCCGCTAAGTCGTTGGTCATGAGCATTTTATTGCGAACACGAAAGCGAAGTCGCAACGGGGTTAATCAACAACGAGAAGCGGTGAAAATATGACTATTTCAAGTTATTCATTCAATTCGCCTTGGGACTATGCAGGTGGTATCGCATACGGCAGGTGCGTTTGGCAATTGTTTAGTCTAGGTTCGTAGGTTTACCCGCCCGTGTCATATGCTCTTTGCTTCTTTTTTTTCTACGTGCGATGAGGCGCCCTCTTTTCATGCAGAGGGGGAGCACGTGGATCGCGTAGTACATACACACCTTTTTTGAACAACCCACTCACACTCTTTTTTGTAAGGAAAATGGACTTGGAGATTGAGGCGTTATATACTGATTTACTTGCATTGCATTGCATTTTGCATTTGAGGCTAATTGGGCAGCGACTAGAGATCGTGGGTTTGGACTTGGTATGCAGGTTGGATGTTGCGCATATTGATACCCTTTCCGGAAACCCTGGGTTCCGTTAGATGTAGCAGTAATAATAGGATCATGAGAGATCGTATGATGATTATTCGTGCATGTAACGGAGTTACCCTTGACGTCCAAGACATCTGTTGTTGCTTCTTCTTTGCCTCTGTGAAAGTACCGGTCGCCCGAACCACCGCATCTGTATACGTCCCTTGAAATGCTCGCGCCGCATAATCGACAGCAGGGATAATGCGCGACTGCAAGATAGAGTTTGCGATACAGTTTGAGACAGAGCCATGGTATTGGAATCTGTCTGATCGGTGTGAGATAATCATCAATCAGATTATTACAAACAATTACTACCGTGATATGTGACACTTGGGGGGCGGGCGGCGGCGGTAGAGCAAGAGTCGGCGAACCGCAGCCAGCCCGCACGAGCGAAACGGCTGAGGCGCTGCACCCGTGCGGACCAATCTCTCCCATTCCCAAGCCGGAGCGGGGCGTGCGACGCCACAGTATTAGACCGAGGAAGTGCCGTTAGTGAGCACACGAAACACGGTCATCTTGCAGGCTGTTCGCTATACGGCTTGCGACATGAAAAAGCGACCATCCAAAGCCGTTGGGTGAGAGCCACGGAAAGAAAGGCCGCGGACCTGTAGATCAAAGTTCCACCATTGCATGAACGGTATGCTCGAGGGTCCGGCTGCGAAAAGCAAAGTGAAATGGATGGGATTGCAAATGCGATGCGGGCCCGATACATTGTGATTATTGCGACAAAGCGACAGGGTTGTGGGTGCTGTGGCTTGGACCTAGAACCCAAGATCTCCTAACTCGCAAGCTCTAGCGTGCATCGATGTAGATGCGCTCCGACGTCCGACTCCACACCACCCTCCACAAACGTAGCATAGACCCCTAGTCTGATCGGTGAACGATGACGGGGAAGGGAGGGGAAAACGAGAAAAAGTCCCTGGGTATACCCATATCAGTGGTCCGGCGTGCAGTGGTGTGAGGAAAAGAAAAAGTTTAGTTGCAGTTGAGAAAACTTGCTCCGTCCCCGCTACCAAGCCTTGGGCGGACGTGTGTGCATACAGCGGGTAACTTGGGTTAATCCAGAGATACGCGAGAACAAGATCTGAGACGCAAAGGAAAAGAGGGAGGAAATGATGGATTCCGAAATGCTTAGTTTCAGCGCTAGCCGCCCAATGATGATGATAGATAATTCCAAAGAGTCCAAAGGAAAAGAAGCCTTCCGTTTCGTTGCCGTTCGCGTGTGCAGTTGTTGCTGCGCATGTAACAATGCGTTTCGCTCTCTCTCTAACAATAAAAAGCTGTCCTGATCGACGTGGGTGGTGGGAATAGAACAGAGGCGAGATTGATGGAACCCAAAAAGCAAATATATAAATGTCCAGAAAGAATGTTACGTGCAGCTGCTGCGGAGTCTACTCATGCAAGTCATCATGCACGTTCAGATCGGTATCGGCCCGCTCACCAGACAATGGCGCGTGTCGGATGGCGGTTCAGATCGAGGGTGGCTGCCGTGTGCAGGAGATACGGAGATACATCGTCGGATGGGAGCGCAGGGCGGGATTCGTCATGCCAATGCGCCTCGCCGATGTTGGATATGTCGTCATGATGTTGATTGCTTCATTCGAGACCCTGTTGCCTCTGGACGTTTTTGAGGATTTCGAGATCCATGCGGAGGATGGGCGAGTTTTGCGCCACATCGCTAATGACAGCAATCGTGCGGCGGAATAGGGCGGCGAGGTTGGCCTTGGTGAGCCAGGTATTGCTGGGTAGCAGGGGGTATAATTTGGATTTGTAGACCGAGGCTAGGACGAGCATGTTACCGAATTGCCTGGGGTATGTGTTAGTTAACATGCCAAGTCAATAATCTGATGCAAACTTACGCGTGGAGTGTGCCGAAGACGTTGGTGACGATAAGCCTCTTCTTGCGCGTGGGTTGGAAGTATTCGTATGTGCTGCCTGGCTCTTCGCCTACGCGATCGAATGCGATGGTACTCCGGATAGCGGCGTCGATACATTGGCAAGCGATCTTGATAATCTTGTGCTGGTCTTCGCTGAGGTCAACCATTTGCACGTTTCGATTTGTAGCCGCACTTGGATAAGGCGATGGCGAGTTATGCTGCGCAGCACCGGTCGTGCCTGGAGGGGGAGGCGGGAACTCGAGCGTGTGACTCGCGAGCTTGAGGTAGGGTCGCAACATCATGTATAGACCACCATAGTACTTGGCGCGTACACGAGCAATGTTGAGATCTGTCGAGGGTAACTCGTCGTCCGACCAGGCCAGTTCCGGTGTGAGCAGCTTCCGCCAACCTTCCAGTATTTCCTTGTGGGTAAGTGCGTGATGAGCAACCTCCTTGAAGCTGGTAGGGTCAAAGGTCATGCGGCCAGTGGGGCCGTATAGAGCGTTATGCGCTACGTTGAGGACAACTCGTAGGAATGTTTGCGTGGAATACAGCTTCATCATCAAGTCTTGCCTTGGGCCTGCGCGTACTTCCACCTCTTGCTGCGCGAAGTTGCTATCCTGGTCTTGCAAACAACTCTCGTTGACGCCTTCGGGGTACATGATCTCGCTTTGATGTGCAGAAATGCCGGAAGGCGGTAAAGTGCTCATCTCTGCCAGAATATCACTAGAAACTATCAGCAAATGATGAGCCTATTCAAACGAAAATACTCACGATTCCAGTTGGAGAGCTGTCCAGTAGACACACATCACCAGGTTAAGTCTGTATCTCTCCTTGCCGCTCCATGTATGTCTTCGGTCGCTATTCTGACGGAGTAGCTTGCTGTAGTCGGCCTTGATGAGAACCAGGGCGATGCGACACGCGTTGTTGATCCAGCTCCAACTTTCCAGTACTCGAGCATACTGACTGAGGAACAGTGCAGCTAGGAGATTAGCTTGCGCATGCGCGACAGTGTTACCTCCTTGTTGGTTTCCTAGGATATCGGTGGCGTAGGCATAGTAGGCCATGCCAGGTAGTAGGTCGATGTTCCTGGGGCGATTTTCATCGGAGGTCTCGCTGGTGAAACTGCCGCCATTGGGATGTGGAGATTCTCTAAAGGTTCCCCATTCGTTGACGTATGGATGCCGGTCGTTCTTCGGCGCGGGCAAGGGATCTGTGTGAGCGCAGACTTTACCAAGAGCAAGCACGAGCAGTACAATCGCGTTGCGCAGAGACCTCTCGATCTCGCCGCGACCTGTTGCTAATCCTCCCTCGAAGTTGCTCTCCGAGTGTTTTCGCTTTACGCCATGGACAGGAGCAGGCGAGCGGGGGTTCATAGGCCTTGCATCAGGACTATATTGATCGCTGAAGTCCTTGAACATGCGCCTGAGCTTGGTCTCGTTCATGAACGGGTGGAATATGTGCATCGTCTCCATGTAGGACCTGAGCAACTCGAACATGACTGGGCGCGAGAAGTCGGGCCGACCATCTGAGCCAAGCCCGTTGCTAGTGGCTTGCCGCGGCTGATGGGGGAAGTACTCTCGAGGTGTGCCGATCGGAGTCTTTACGGAACCGGCATCTGGAGAAAATGGATAGCCCCATAGGCCTTCTTTGCCAGGTGCTGGTGATGCGGCTTCGGAGTCGTTGCTGCTCTCCGGGCTTCCGGGTCCCTGCGCTCCGTCGTTTAGGTCTTGGCCCTCGCCAACACCCCAGACGCGCAACAGACCGCGATCCTGCTCAAGCTGCATCGGGTAGTCCGAGACTTCACGACCGTTGTCCATTAGCCTTCTTAGATAAGGAATACCTTGATAGAAAATGCTCATTTGCTGCCATTCGTCGAGCAGCTTGTGCGCAGGTGTTGTGTGATCACCTTGCAGACCGGTTTGCTCCTTGGGACTGGTCTCAGTGGCATGGCTGCGGTCGGTCCTTACACTCTCGGCTGGTGTGGCCGGCTGTTGGGGAGGTGGTGCGAACTGAGACTCCTGCTTGATAGATGCTGATGCTTGTCCACCCAAAGGCGACATCATGTTCGAATGAGGAGCGATGGGAGACTCCATCTTCAGGTTGCTGTTGACCCGGCCCATGTGTCCTCTTCCCTGTATGGGAGTAGGCCATCTGGATGTGCCGTGCTCTCTCGGGGGTGCCGAGAAAGAAGCTACGGGCGAAGCGTGATTCGACATCATTTCGTGGTCTCGCGGCTGTGGGAGCCGGCTCTCAACGCTGGATTTCCAGCCGTTGAACTGGTCCACGAACTGCGACAGGACTTCAGATATGCTGTTAACGCTTTCTTGAAGTTGCATCATGCTTCTGTCTTGCCTAGGGAGGGTCAGCGATGTACCAAATGAGGGAGGGAGCAACGCACTTGGGTGGCGGGACGTCCTTGTACTGGCAGTCGAAGTTGTTCTCTCTGCAGAACTGGCACGGTCGCGCTTCGTCGCACTTTTGCTTCCGCGAACGGCAGTGGTTACACGCCTGGGTGGCGCGCACCTGCTTTCGCCGTATCTGCTGCGCGTTGCCATAGTCGTTCATGTACGGAGTCTGCGCGTAGGGCGTGGCAGGAGCGGCATACTGCTGCTGGACAGGTGGTGGAGGCTGGACATGATATGGCGGTCCGTTGGGGTGTGATGGACTTATGGCGTGGTTGTATCCATTTGGTATGCTGCCATTGGGGCGATGCTCGTGGTTGATTGCCCACGGCTGGTGGTGGCCGCCATGCTCCATGGGAGTCTGACTTTGAGACTTGACGTCGACACTGATACTGACGCTGGTGGACCGGGAACTGTGTTGCTCTGGCGCAGTGGTTGTCTGAGGTGTGAGTGGGGGACGGTAACTGTTGATTCGGTCCTGGGGGATCGTCACAGGCGATGCTCCAGTAACGCCATTGGAATGCTGACGAGGTGAGGGTATGTTCCGTGGGTCCGCAAGGGCACGAATATCAGATGGCGGAAGGGACGGTGAAGGTAGTGGTCCGGGATAGCCTTGAACGTGAGAAGGGTACTGGGCAGATGGAACCGGTAAGCCGTGAGGACCGTAGGGCGGAGACGCCTGGACCAAAGTGGGATGGGAGGGAGGTCGAGTGGGTTGGGTATGAGGCGGTGGAGGAGGGGGTGGAAATCCGTGGCCGTTATACTGCGGATGATCAAGATTGCCGGAGCCCAAACGAGCTCTCTTAGACTGGCCGGGCGCGTCAGGATCAGCCATCCTTAGATATGCCAGACGGAATCCGCTATGGCCATGCGGCTATGTATGACAGCGACTACTGGGCAAAACGGATGGTCCCAGGACCACCAAACGGCAAAAGCCAGGAAGGTCGCGGGGGGTGGGCAGGTGGTGGAGAGGGCGGCCTCGGCAGTCGCAGGGTCAGGAAAAGACCAATTCGCCAGAGTCAGCGAATGGGAAGTCAAAGATGATTTGCAGATGACAGCCCAACCCGCGTCATCGCCTGGAAGAGGGGAAGAGTTTGGAAAGCGTCGCAGGGCAAGTGCTCGGAGGCCAGAGTGGGATGCAGGACGGGAGCTTTCCTATGCCGCGTGCGCGAAGAAAGGACCTAGCCTTGGGCAAGACTCTCTTACCATGGAGCCGGAGACAACTATCCGAAGCAGGTAAGGCCCAAATAGCTGAGTCGCGGACGGTCTATGCTGTCGACGTTTGCTGGCTTGGTCGGCGAAAAGTGGCGCTATTAAGACCGGGCCGTGCGAACGAAGGGGCCAGGGCGCAATCACAAGAGGCGCGAAACTAAATCAGTCGCAAAAAGGAACAGTTCAAAGCGAGACGCGACGGGGGGCGGGAGGCGGGTCAGCGCTGGGTCAGGCACACTGGCGGTGGTGGAGGGTAGCAGTGCGAGTTAGCCGTGGTGACGGTTGGGGTTATGGTGGGCGATGGGCGTGTCGGGAGGGGAGAACACCATACCGAAGCTTGGAGAGATGGACGAGGATGCAAAGGCGGCGTATTAGCGCGAAAGCGAAGGATGTGCAGCACACAGGTCGCTTGTGCCATTGACCAAGCTACGAGACCAGGGTAGCAGCGCGGAGCCACCAGACGCGCTGTGTGGCCATCGTCAAGGACGACATGGGGACCGTTGTATCAAACAGCCCGCGCTGCCAGAGCCCGTCATGTGCCATAGGATGATGCCGTTGCAGACAGCAAACGTTGCTCCCGCCCGACGCGACCGCGCATCCATTGCTGCTACTTGGCCGCCATCTGCAGCCGTTGGCGACACGTCTACTTGCAATAATGACTTGCTGCTGCTGCAACACCAGCGCCGGCTATGTGACAGTCACGGTGCTCGCTGTCTCGTGCGGCGATGCGCGGTCCTCCGCCCTGCAACAACCATCGTCGACGACCCCCGTGCAGCTTGGAGCAGGCCGGCCGTCAGCAGCTACAGTCGGATAATTTCCGCCCAATTGCTGGCCCTGAAGACTCAGGAAACTGATCCGAGCTCTGAGGCCAGCTAGTCACGATCCCTAGTCGGCCAGCCTCCACTTTGCAGCGGCACCGAGGCATTCGAGAAGGTTGATGGAAGTGATGCGCTGCTGGTGGCTGCAGACGATATCTCGCGACGCCGCCGCGCCTCTTCCTGCGCCCGCAGCCCTCTGCTTACCTGAAGCTTCGCGCTCGTCCTGGTGCTGCAGCGATTCATGCGCCGAGTCTCTGCGAACAGGACCTGTCACTTGCGACTCTGCTGCCCAAAGATCAGCGTTGCGTTTCCGGGCTGCAGATCCTGGCGAGACGCCTATAGGCAGTCTGGTGGCACATGGCGAGGTAGTGTGTGTACAACTGCATCACCCTTTTGTCCGCCTCGTCTGCTAGGGAAATCGCGGCTGCTGCTCATGGCAGGTGCCGGAGAGGCGCCGGCCAATTCTATTGACGTTAGTTTCATCAGGTCCAAAGTCAGTGGTGATAACTAGCGCGCCGCAACACGCGACCGCCAGTATGGCGTCAGGAACATTTGCTAGACCCCTCCATTGTGCACTTGGAGTAGGTCGGTACTGTGCACGCCGCAGTGCCCTCGACACCCTTGCAACACGGCCAAGCTCAGGTAACCTGGTTACTCGGCCGTGAAGGGCCTGCCGCAAACAAACGGTCAGCTGCCCGGCGACATCAATCCAAAACAGCAGTGCCTTTGCTGCTAAGCTCCGAACAGAGATAGCCATTGAGCCAGTTTGTCAGATGACGAGCCGACTCTGCCCGGCCCTGCTGCTCACCGGCGCTATGGCAAGTTGCGGTCTGCTTCAGACTAGATGATTGATGCGTGAGAGGACCTGTCCGATTGACGACACCCCACAACCGAGATTGTCTAAGCCAGGCCGGCCTGCGACCCTCGTGGGAACACCCTGGCTTACAGCATCCTGGCGGCTGTCGCTCTACCACGTGGAACGCATGAGGCGTCCAGTAGAAAAACGGGGTGTCCCTTGGGCTACCTCTCTAAAAGACGGCGCAGAAGCGAGTCAATCTCGTGTCGAGAAGTTGCCGTCGAGTCGGTGTAGTCGCTTCACTCTGCGACACGGCATACCAAGCCTCGCCATTGATCGGAGCAACAACGCTTCTAGAAATTCAAACTCTCTAGACGGCAAGTGATGTAGTAGCCCTTGTCCTCCTGCCTGCCGCATGTGGCATAAAACATGCAGAGGGGGTTGGTGAATCGGCAAAGCGGCGCGACACGGTGAACCGTGAGTCGTATCCATGGAACGAACGCATTCGCTCTGTCGTCTGGAGATCCAAGTGCGCGCGCTGACACAATTGCAGTCAACAATGACGGAAGGATTCCTGTGACGTCGCAAGTGACGATATACGCTATGCGCGAACCTTCGTCTGCTCGCTGTCCACCAGGCGGTGCGCGCGAGTATTGCCTGGACGCTGCTCCTCGGAGCCATGTCCTACGACGTCGTACGAACCGCAGAGTTTGCAGCCGAGCGCGCACCTCCCAGCGGTCCCCATTACCTGGTGGTACGATTAGATCAGACGTTCATGTTTTGTGTTTCGCAGATGCGTGGTGAGCGCAAGCGTCACACAACTGGTACACATGAGGAAACACGTCGATTCGAAGGCGCCAAGCCATTTTCGGAAGCGATGACTGATGACGTAGACCTCTATCGCATTGCAACACCACACGAGCAGCGGTTTTGTGAGCACAGCCTATCAGACGATGGCTTCATCCGTATTCCTCAATGTACCGCCAGTTGTTGCATATAGCACGCATACGCGAGATGCATCTGCTAGCGATCCTCCCTAACCGAGGCCCTGAAACGCTTGTGAGGCAAAATTGATCGCGCGTATGTATACGTCACAAACCCCTCTGCACGCTGGAAGGCGAATACCCATCCACTGCACCATCTTCACCGTCCTCACGACAGCGCCTTCGATAGTGCGAGACCGTGCGGATCTCAATTTCTTGTGTCGATAGCCTCACTTTGAGCTTGGAGTCCTCCCGACGAGAACAACGTCATGGTTGCCACCCTGATTTTTAGCGTCATTGCGAGCTTTGCCATCTATCAGATAATCTCGAAGTATCGGGGCCTGCAACGCAATGTCGCGCTAGCAAAGAGCTCGGGACTACCTGTAGTGGTAGCGCCATGGTATACGTTCAGCATTCTATGGCTGTCGACGTTCAAGCTATGGTTGCCGTTGCTGCAGAGATTTCTGCCACAGTCATGGCGAGGCATGTGGTTTGAGTATGTAAATTCGACTTGACATCAGGCGAGGTATTAATCAGATCTTGCAGTCTTCTGAATCCAGAATGGAGTTACACGACCGGACATGGGCCTTTCGAGAAGATGGGTTTGGACGTCTTCATGGTCGCATCTCCTACCAGAAATGTAGTTTTTGTTGCAGACGCGGAAGCCGTGACTCAAATTACCACCCGCCGCAATGACTTTCCCAAGCCCCTTGAGATGTACACGTCTTTGGACATTTACGGCAAGAATCTGGTGAGTACTGAAGGATCAGATTGGCGCACACATCGCAAACTTGTCGCACCAAGTTTCGGTGATAAGAACAATCAGCTCGTGTTCAACGAGACCCTTCATCACGCAAAGTCGATGCTGGGATTGTGGGCCGGATCCGAGGGTAAAGGCAATGAGACTATTGCCGATCCTTCCGTTGCGGCAATGAACTTTGCTCTTTATGTTATCAGTGGAGCGGGTTTCGACGTACGCGTAGTATGGCCACACGAAGAGGGCAAGAAAGTGGAGGACAAAAAGAGCGAAGACTCTATTTTTGTAGGATCGGAAGCCCCTCCCGGCTACACCATGAGCTACAGGGCCGCTCTAAGCCAGCTGCTACACAACATTATGTGGACTCAAGTCATGCCACTTAAGTGGCTTGGTAAGTTCCCTCTTACTACTACTTCACCGCGTCGAGTTGAACATGTCATCTAACAATTTCTCGTAGCACGATCTCCAGTCAAAATGCATCGTGAAGTCAGCGATGCGGCCCACGAATGGGGTAAGTACATGGATGAGATCTATGAAATGAAGAAGACCCAAGTCGAGTTTGGCGAGACTCAAGCAAACATGGACATATTTGACTCTCTGATCCGCGGAAGCGGCATCACCAAGAAAGAGGGTTCGAATTTCACGAAGAGCGACCTGCTGGGTAACGCATTTGTGCTTATGTTGGCGGGCCACGAAACAACTGCCAACACACTACATTTCTCCATGGTATTCCTCGCCATGAACTGGGGCTCTCAGAAGCGGCTGCAAGACGACATCGACAACATATTTGCGGGCAAGCCCATCGACGAATGGAAGTATGAAGAGCACTTTCAGAAGCTATTCGGAAGCATGCCAGCGGCAGTCATGAACGAAACTTTACGGCTGCTGCAACCAATCATCAACATTCCGAAGTCTACTCCACCGGGTCGACCACAGCCATTGAATATCGGGGGAAAGCAATATATGGTACCCGGCGACGCTCACGTATTCCTCAGCGCAGCCATACATCGCAACCCAAAGTATTGGCCAACACCATCTGATGGCTCAAGCAAGGACGACCTAGACCAATTCAGACCTGAACGCTGGCTCGTGGATAGCAAGCCCGACAACGATTTCGTCGACATCAACTATGACGATGAAGGGCTACGTGGACCAGCAGGCGAAGACACTTCATCTGAACTCTTCAAGCCCGTCAAAGGCTCATACATCCCCTTTAGTGACGGCTTCCGATCATGCATTGGTCGACGCTTTGCTCAAGTGGAGATTCTCGCGGTGTTGGCCGCGATCTTCTCTCAGTACAGCGTTGAGCTCGCAGTCGATGACTTTGCTAGTGACGAAGAGGTGGAGAAGATGCCAAAGGGAGGCAAGGAGAGGAGAGACCTATACAAGATGGCTACGGATAGAGCCCAGGATTTGATTCAGACCAAGATGGCGAGTATCATTACGCTGCAGTTGCGGGGTGTCTCGATACCAATCAGATTGATGAAGAGGGGAGAAGAGAGGTTCGCTTTCGATGTCTAAGGTAAATCGTGTTTGTCTTTGTATGTACAATATTTCGGTATACTATCTATACGGTTGGAGGTGTAATGGAAGCTACCCCGCATACGTCACAACCTCGAATTACCCCACCGACAGCGACTACATCCGCCATAACTCCGGTGCAATTATTAACACAAGAACGTTTGTACAAAATTGAAGCCTAATCTTCAAGTTTGAGAAGAAGCGTAACTACCCAACCCAGCATACCTCAAAATGTCACCCCCCATATTCCCGCCCGAAGAGCTCCAGCAAATCGTCCAAGAGGTAGCCACACTCCTCAAAGAGCGCAAAGAGACCATCTCGGTAGCAGAGACAGTAAGAACCCCAGTCCAACTCAAAGCCACCTACTAACCACTTCAACCAGGCAGCAGGTGGTCTCATCTCCGCCGCACTCCTCTCCTTCCCCGGCGCATCGACCTACTACCGCGGCGGCCTCACCCTCTACACGCTCGAGTCAAGAATCGCATACTGCGGCTGGACCCAAGATACCATCAAATCCTACAGTGGCCCAACCCCTGCCATCGTCTCTGGCCTCGCCGAGCACACGCGCAAGACACTAGGTAGCACGTATACCATCAGCGAGAGTGGAACCGCAGGGCCGACGGGGGGAACGACTCGTAACCGCACACCAGGCTACGTAGCGCTTGCCGTGGCACGGGAGGGCGGGGAGACAGTGACTCGAGAAGCGGAGACGGGGAGCAGCGAGCGCGAAGCCAACATGGTGGCCTTTGCCGTGCAAGGCCTCAAGCTCGTACGCGATGTGCTCCAAGGAGGAGGTGAAGGAAAGCTGTGAATCATGTAACGACCTCAATCTTGGGTTGATGAATCAACATCAGAAGGAGTAAGTTGTGCGACAGAAAGATGCATAGGTACCGAGTCTGTGGTTGTAACATGTTTCGTTGAACTCACATAATCTAGATAGGGCAAGGCAAGGAACAAATGCAAGGAAACCAGAAAAGCGCATATGTCATGATTGGCGTTGCTCGCTTCGATCCGAGACGATCCAATCCAGATTTGCGCACGCACACCTCCATGGTCCATGTCTTAACTTCATCATAGCCGCCCTCTCCGCTCCCGGAACGATGATCGAACGATTTCCCTCGCTTCTAGAATCATGCAATTTCACTTTCTCATTTCGGTAGCCACCGAGGAAGGATTCATTGACGTTCGATACGAGATTCACGATCCTTCCTAGGAAGGTTCCAAAGGTGACCCAGCAACTCGGTATCACATCGACTACGCCGCAGTCCCAAAGCGGTAATCTCAGCCGCAGCGCAACCACACCAGCCTCCCACAATTCGCTTACCCATCACCCTATTCTTCCTTCCATTATTCCCACGAATGCCGTTTGACGTGTTTCATTGGCGTGATAGCCGCCCAGATGCTGCCCAGTTTGTTCAATGCACGGCTGGGGCGTGTAGGTAGGATCGTTGCGGCACGGTACCTAGGCTTCTTTCCAAGGTTCTTGACCCGCCTTCGCGGACGTTGCCAAGTTTTGAGCGACTCCTTGCATTGTGAAGCGATAGGTTCGTTTGACATACTGTGCGGCTGGAAGCTTGCAAGCGGAGGATCAAGCGGAGGATCGAGGAAGGTCGGCTACCTGCTTCGAAGGATGGGTGTAGAAGCAGGCTGGAAGGTTGACGTGGAGTCGGTCGGGACTTTTTGGCGCCACGTGTGGTACTATGCAGCCCTATCTGTATGCAGAAGTTACTGCATGGGGAAACTGATACTGGGACTTCGTGACGAGACGGCGACTATCGCGGTCCTGGGATACAGACTCAACTCTGAGGTCATGGAGTGGATAGCGTTGGGGTTCATGTGGCGTAGCTGTTTGAGAAGGTGACGTATGGAAGGGGTAGCGGTCAGCTGGCCTTCTGAAGATCCGGTGTGACGGTTGTGCTAGTGCTCTGGTTTGGTACACGGAAAGAGTACACCGAAACTGTAATGCTTACATGCTTACATACGGACATTCTTTGTCCGTAAAGCGGAGACAGAGAGTCCGACAGTGCGTGTTGAGAACTTGCACATTCATCATGCACAACCACAAGCTGATCACTGTACCATTCACACTGATGAGTCCACGAACATACGCAATGTACCAGACACAGCTTTTTGGATTGAAGGCCATCGATGGTCACTGACGCGCTTCACCAGCACTGCGACGTCTTCACAGGATAGCTGTATACGCAAAGTAGACTTCATGATCAGCTTTCCATACTACGTTTCTCTAGTACACACATCATCAGCTATGTTTCCAATATATCCACACATGCAGATGTTCCCTCTTCAGCCCTTCGTGCAAGCAATCCCGCAGATGCAAATGCCGATACCAATGCCACTACAACCAATCCCGCTACTCGCACCGCTACCACCTCTATTACCACCGCAACCGCATTTCCAGCAGCCAGTGATCCTCCCACCTCCACCCGTTCTCCTACATCCCCAGCCCTTCATACCACCCCCCGCCTTACCAGTCCAGAAAACCCTCTACATCCTCTCCTACTCCACCGAAGTCCTCAAACGCCATCCAGGGGCCGAAGCCCAACTTCTCCAACACACTCCCTCCGGCATCCCAGTCCTCCTCACGATATACTGCCACAAATGGCGCGCCCCACCCCGAGAAATATGTGAAAGGTATACCGGCGTAAGTCCGCAGGTGCAACAATATATACTGGGTAGTCGGACGGCGATGGGGGAGATGTGAGTTTTCCACCCTTCACCCTCCAAACTCTCCATAACCCCAGTATTTTCGAACGGCACAAGTAGCATACCGAGGGCTGATCTGAGATATGATAGTAACAAAGCCATCACCGCCATAGCCAACCACCTCAACGCTGGAAACCAAGTTTCGTCGATACAAACTACATGTCACGCGGGTACGCATCGGAGTGTTGCTGCCGCGGAAATTGTAGCGAATGAGATGAGGAGAAGAGGCGTCAATGTCGTGGTTAGACATGCGCATCGGAGGAGGGGGCCTGGCGACGCCTGCTAGGTTGGGAGGCACCCGTGGACACATGAGCATGTTATGATCGGTCTTTTGGGATAAGTAGCAGAGAGTGAGAAAGGCGGAGAGACCATAGTTTGGCATATGGCAGTTGGGGTAGAGGGGCTCTCCACATCGGTTCTACAGTTCCAGCTTTTGGTTGAAGGCGCTGCTGGAGCGGAATCTCATCGCTTCATGTATTCGTGCTTTTTGGCGAGCAGAACTCCAGATCATAGAGAGGGAAGTACAGAGTCTTTAGAAAAGAGACAAGAAGAAGTGTAGTGGAGAAGAGTGAGTGTGGATGTGCAGTTTATGTACACGTCAATAGAGTCATAATGCGGTTATCGTTATCTTTGCAGTTATCAGCCCGAGGTATCATCGCGGACTCCACAGAACTCGCAAACACATGGGCCTTCTTCATGGCAACTTCGATCTCTCCCATCAAGAGCTTGATGCAAAACTTTGTTCATGTTTCTCAGCTGCGCACCCATAGCTTTGTCTCCCTGAACTCTTGCAGAAGAACAACACAAACATGATAGCGACCTGTTTTCTTTTGAGAAGCGTCAAAGGCCACAAGGACTGGTTCTCTTCTCACAGCTCAGTCTCAATGAAAATTTAAGAGGGCTCTCCATCATCTTGTTTGACGAAGATTTTGGTCGCACAAGTCGTCTTCTCGAATTCTCATAGCGACATTGACAGGGTCTTTTTGTTCGGCGAGAAGATCTCCAGACCATATACATGGTGTCCTCAGATTTTAGAAAGTGAAAAAAGCAGTGTTGTAAAGGAAGAATCGTTGAAAGCTGGGGTTTATATAATGTTGAAAACATGACCATGGCGCAGTGTGTTCTCAGTGGCTTAGTCTCTCTTCTTGCATTCTAAACTCAAAGCTCGCAGCCACATGGACTGATCGGCCTTGTCTTTTCAGAAAGCATACATGGTTCTGTTCTTGCTCTGTTTTGGGAATACGATAGCTGATACCAAATTCCCCAGTCCCGAACTCATCGTACTTTTCTTTGGGGGTTGGGGAAGGAGGAGGAACATCAAAGGCTTTTGCTGCAGTCTTTGGAAAGAAAGGAGCACATGATTTCCTTTGTATATTAGTTTTAGTAAACTTAGGAAGAGAGTGTAATAAACAAGAGTAAGAGTAAAGGCAACCGCGGCGGTATTTATATGCCCAGCCGCCCAACTAGGAGACACCCACGCGAAGCGGCGGATGTGTTTTTCGGTGGTACAAGCTCGACACCCTCAGCCACATCATCAACCTCAGCCGCTACTTTTCGGGCGCACACATAGAACTGTCAAGTATGTTTTTAAGAGATACTGTAGGCAATGTCAAATCCCACAGTCTCGATCTCATGACACTCTGACTAGGCGTTTTGGAAGGAAGGACAAACATGAGCTTATCGTACGCGCGTTTTGGAAGAAAGAAGACCATGTATCCAAGGCTTGTAGACTTTTTGTAGACTCAGGAAAAGAGCGTGATGGAGAAGAGTAAAGATCACTGCGGCGGTATTTATATACATAGCTGCCAAACCGCCAGACACCACATTCCAGGTTCATATCTGGCTTCTTCAAGTTACAAACTCGACACTCTCAATGATATCCAGTTCTTGGATACTTATTTATAGACGCTACACATGCACTGCGATGTTTAAAGTTCAAGTGAAAACGTAGCTAAGAAAGTTTCCCAAAGTTAGACTCATTGCGGACTTCAGCGTGCTTTTTCCAGCAAAGAGAGCGCACAGCCATAGCTAGGAGGTAAATTTTCTTTGGAAAGAGGACACACAGCCATTTCGACATGGAATTCTGTTTTTGAAAAGACGGAAGATCATCGAGTTCCTCGGACCCCGTTTTTGGAGAATATAGGAAGAGCACGATGTTGAAAGAGTTGCCTAGATGTGCCAGTTTATATATGCGGCAATCTGGATGATGCGAAACCCCACTGCTTCGACGTCATGTAGTCGTTTTCTAGTGGTTTTGGAAGGAGCAGCGCAAACATGACAGCTTATACTGAAAGTTTTGGAAAGAAGGGAGACCATCGGGTCCTCGTCGCAGATATTTTGGAAGACCCAGAAAAAGAATGTGATACAGAAGAACAAAGGTGTTGCCAGTGGTATTTATACCCAATCAACCTATGCAGAGAAGCAGCTCATGTTGCGTCGACATGCGCTTTTAGGTATCGATGAGACAGATCTCGCACTCATCTCCCGCACTAAGTCGTTTATGCCCTTTTTCAGATTGCAGCGAGACAGTGTAGGCATGTGTTCGCTGTTGTGCCTTTTCGATAGAACATAAAGAGGAAGTAAGAACTTTTAGGCGCGTTCAGGCCGGCGAGAAGGTCATTTTCGATGTTGTGGATCCTTTTGGAGAGACTCTCCAGGCCAGAAGGACCATATGAGCCAGAGTGCCCGTTTTTGATCCCGAAGGATAAAGTGGTAGATGATAGGAAGAAGATACCAGAGACACCAATCGAGGGTTTATATACCCCGAATCTGCTGCAGAAGGGGAAAAGAGCCGCACTTCATGAAACATGTCCGTCGATGTTTTGTAGTACGGACGATCTTCGCAAGTCCCACTCGCTCTCGACCATAGCAGCAACATCTCGTTCTTTGAGAGAAGCACATCCCATGCCATTGTCTCTAGATCATTTTCTCAATTCTTTTCTTTCCTCTGTTGCAATCTCCCAGCGCAACGCCGCAACATACAATGTGCATAATGGACTTTTCGGTCACTCCGACAAACGCGCCATAGTGACCTTGAGTCGCGTTTTTGGTAAAGGAGAGTATGTTTTGAGGTAGATAATAAAAGAACCCGAAGACCAGGAAGGAGTTTATATACGCCCCAGCCAGTCTGTGCAATCTCACAGGAAGCAGAGACGCGGGAGACCACACGGCATGTCGTAAGCGTTTTGGAATTTTTGGGTAATGCTGTGAAGGCCTCTGCACTTCCTTTCTTCCATACTACTGTGGATATATAGTTTTGGAGGTCCACAGAAAACATAGCGCATGTCTTCGACGTTTTATAGACGTGGGAAGAGGACATGGGGTTGTCGGATGGAAGTTTTTAGAGGCGCGCACACGCCATCGGTGTATCCCGTGCTCATTTTGGGTTCTCACAACCGGACAGCCATGGCTATGTTCTCCATCGGTTTTGGAAGTACAAAATAAGACTTTGTGGTGTATAAAAGAGAAGCAGAGCGAACTCTGAGGTGCTTATATACGCTCACACCTCACTAGCGCGTAGTAAATCAAGGAGGCAGAACACCCACAGGCCATTAAGAGGTTCACCGATCCTTCCATTTTCGAGTATGCAAGTCCTCACATACTCCTCTTTCATCGCAGCGGTACCTTCTAGTTTCTTGTCTCCATCTTTGTCTTGCAAAGCATTTTTGGTAGGTTTTCACAGGAAGACTCGCCATGGCAGGGACTTGAAGAAGATTTTGAGTTCTGAAGAAGGGAGGGAACAGACATAAGTCATTCCTGCATGTGCTTTTGAGGAATGCCGAAGCATGGCATCTCCGATAGAGATTTTTGAGAACTGCAGGGAGAGAACCATGGAACTGAGTTTTCTCTATTTTTGGCAAATCCCCGAACGAAGTGGTGGTAATGAGGAAAGAAGAAGAGGACCAGAAGGTAGAATTTATATCCGCGCTTCTCACTACTCCGCGGCAGTGACAGCCAGATGCTCGCCAAAAGAGCTCATCAAGGGCTCTCTTGTTGTATTTTGGACGCCGCACCGCTCTCAGTCTCTCTCATATCTCCAACTTTTCATCTATTCAGAAACATCATCAGCAACAAACGCATTTTAGAGTGAATGACTGGAAAGCGGAGGAGAGCGGCACATTCGTTCCATCCTAGTAGGGTTTTGGAAAAAGAAGAAGCAGAAGGGCCATCACTCGTACAGCTAGTGATTTTTGGTAAAAGTCCCGAAGGCGTGTGTAGTGATGAAGACAAGAAGGGGGTAGAGGAGGGGGTTTATATATCCATCTACCCGCTCGGCTGCTATTCCGAATTGGCTCTAAAGTTTGGAGGCAGCAGAGTGGGCAGCCATGAAGGAGAGTGGTCTCCCTTTTGGTACGACAAACCCACTCCAGCTCTCTCCATGAACAGATCCTTGACCCGTTTTGGTAGACGCAGCGAGCACTACTCCATCATCTTTCAGTGTGGGCTTTTCTCGCACAGCCATCATCCGCTTGCTCTTAATCTTATAGCACAGCCATGGCACTCCATCTCTATAGTCTTGGAGACTGAAGGGAGAGCACGCAAGAAAGACTCCATGCAACCTGAGCATCTCTATTTTGAAGAAAAGAGAGGAAAATCATGTCTCATTCACCTTCTATTTTTAGAGAAAGGCGGAAAGGACAGCGGACGCCATGCCACGTCAAGATGAGAATTTCAGTGTGAAAGGAAGGCCGAGGAAGCGAGACACCCCATCGACAAATCGAATGTGAGTTTGAGAGGAAGCCGTAGCAGCCATGCGTTGTCGCATCTATGACTTTTGGAGAACGCGAGGGAGAGACACTCCATCAGTTACTACACTCTTTGTTTTTGGGGAAAGGCAGGGAAGCAGACAGATTTCATGTGGCCTTGGCTATGCGTTTTTTTTAGAGAAAGCAGAGCAAGCAGACACACTCCATGAGCCATACCTACCAAAGTTTTTGGTGTAAAGGCGGACAGAGCAGACCAACACTCCATATATCCTTTTCCCCATATTTTGGAAGAAAGAGCAGAACCGCACTCCATCAGTGATCGGAACGTACTTTTTGGTAAAAGCACAACCAAGTGCGTAGGATAAAGAGACAAGAAAGGCAGTCGAGAGAGGTGTTTATATACCCCAACCTCACTCCTCTGTCCTCTCCATCTTCGTTGCTCTCTGGTCTTTGGAGAACGTGCGGAATACTCCAAGAGCACCGTTCATTTGCAGTACCCGCATGGGTTTTTGATGTAGGAAAGGCTGGGAGAGTCTGCTCTCATTTCGTCAACGTCGATTAGTTTTGGTACAGAAGGAGGAGCACACCATGTTGGAGATTTGTACGTGGTTTGGTGTTCAGACATGTATCCAGAGATTTCAGTTTTTGGATTTCCGGCGCCGAGGAGACCGCACATACCGATTGAATAATCTCATTTGTGGAAAAAGCGGGAAAGAAGCGCGCATGCCGCTGTTGTCTTTCAAGTTTGGAGAAGAGCCAGCGAAGAGCGCACATAATGTATCGTATTAGAGTTTTTGAGAAGCCGGAGAAGAGCGCACATTCACAGCTTTGTGGTGTTTTTTGAAAAAGCTGGAGAGGAGCGCACATGAACTGGTCACGATTGCGATTTTGGAAAAGAAGAGGAGGAGCGCACATGGACTAGGTCGCGAACAGTTTTGGAGAAAAAGAGTAAAGCTCTTGTGATGTTAGAAGAAGAGTGAGGAAGGTAGTAGAGGGGTTTATATACGCATGTCCAGGCCAAGCGTCGTGGTGCGCTAAACCCAAGTAGCCATCGTGACTTGGTCGCCTCTGCCATCAGCCACATAAACACGCGCATAGAAAGATGAGACGAAGACGATTGCACAGGTAAAAGCGATAGTCATTCACTAACCCCCTACTTCTCCTTCCCCGTCTCCATCTTCCCCTTCCTCACCATACTCGCATCCTCCAATCATACACCCCCTCTCCCGCACCCAGAACGCTCCAAGCAGACTGCCACCCCACATCCCACATCGCTCATCTCAAGGCCGTGAAAAAGAGACTACCCATCCACCCATTCATCCATCCGCCCATCGCTCAACAAACAAAACCAGTGCCCAAGCCCATCCCGCTCATTCCAATCCCTTCATCCCCAAATTCCAATGATAACAATAAACCTTACAAGCTACTGCCACAGACCAGTCTAGTCCCGTGCACACGTAGCGTCGCATACCCAAGCAAGCCCAAGCCGCGCAAACCAAACCAAATCGCAGTGCCAAACCGAAAGACAGGAAAACCCCCAAAGAGAAAAACCGCATAGCGCCCAGAAATCATAAAAGCCGCTTAGGAGCGAGCTCCCGCCAAACGCCGTGACAAAAAGCCCAAGTGGTCGACCTCGTGCGCGAAGTCTGTTGTGTGATAGTGTAGTGTGATGATGTGAGTGGTATCGAGGTAAAGTAAGGTATCGTGAGTAAAGTATAGAGTTCGCAGCCTCCAGGGCGATTTCGAGCGTATCGGATCGTATGGATATGTATGGGAGTACGCGCGCGCGTGTGTGAGGTCGATGATGATGACCGAGCGGGAGAGACATGCGCTTCGCGGTGTTCCTTCGCCGAGGAGGCGGGGGTGGTCGATTAGGATAGATAGAGATAGGTGTGTTGCATGGATAAGGTAGCGGGATACGGAATTCTCGGTCATCGTCCGTCGGTGCCTTTAGTGAACGGCGCGTTGTCGTGGTCCGTTGTCGTGGTGTTGCGTGATTCTCGCCATACTGTAGTTAAGTTCTTGACGAGTTGACTGCCCACCCCTCAAGAAGGCGCCATACCCTCAATCGCCCCTTTTTCAAACTCCTCCAACCGCTTCAACTTCGCATCGAGCTCCGCGAAGATATCGCCCATATGACACGCCTGCTCGAGCAGCGGTGCACTTCCGAATGGCCGTATACGGTGGCGAAGAGCAAGGGTGCTGGCACAAGACTACAAGTCCACATATTAGCAAACGCACTCCCCTCAAACCAAACAAAGACAGTAAAACATACCTCGATCCTCGAAATCTGATGCTCAACAAAGTTAATCAAGAAACGATCCGTAATCTCGCCACCCCGGCTCTTCATCCTCTCCAGCAACGCCGTCTCTGGCGGTTTCAATTCAGAGCAACCAGGGCTCTCGAGCGAACTGCACAGCATCTCCAGACGTAGACTAATATTCCAGAGATCCCACACATCTTCGGTGTCGATAGTGAGCTGGCTGCCCGCCATCTTCTGACCAGCCGTAGCCTCCTTCTGCTGCTCGACCGGTTTCTGTTCCGTCTGGCGCTGGACCGCCAGCCGACTAGCCAGCGAGTGCGGATACATGAGGTAGATGTACTCAGGGTTCTCGAGACCTTTAAGACGGCGTTCACCGAGGTCTTTGACTTCGAAACCTTGGGAGCTGAGGGAGCGGAGTTCGCCGCGGATCATCTGGCTGTTCATGTCGTCGCCGTAGGCTTCTTCGGATCCGGCGGAGTTCTTACGGTCGCCTTCAATGTGCGTTTCGAGGAGACGTTGGATCTCGGCGATGAAGTCGGATGAGACGGTGATTTGGCCGCCGTCGGCTACGGAGGAGATACGCGAGGCGCGGTTGACCATGGGTCCAAAGTAGTCCATGCGCTTCGTGACGGGATCGACTTCGCACACGGGTGTGCCCCAGTGGATACCCATGCGGACAGAGAGACCGCGGAAGATGACGTTACCATCCGGATCGACCACTTCCTGTCCATTGACGCTGTTGAGAATCTCTTGCGGCCACTGTACTTCGAGAAGCTGGCTCTGGATCGTGAAACACCACAGCAGAGCTGATGTCACAGTGCGGAAAGCGACCATGAATGCATCACCTTCCGTCTTGACCTCGTACCCACCAATAATGCGTAGTTGTCGGCGCATAAGCTCGTTGTGCATCTTTATTGCAGAACGCATAGCAATCGGGTACGTCTCCCACAGTATGGTCGAGTTTTTGATATCCGTAAACACCAGACTGACTTCGCCCGTTGGCGCGTCCACTTCGTTGTCGAGTCGAGCGAGTTTGGAGTCGCCGACCAGGTTGCCCTTCTTTCCACGTCTGCGCGACGCGCCCCAGTCTGGATCTGCACCAGGCGCGGGTATGAGGGACATGCTTTGGGTGCGGTACCGGGCACGTTGTTTGCTCTTGAGATCACTGACACCAAGCAACATGACCATGATCTTGTTCGTCGCACCAAAGGCAATAGCCAAATCGCGCAATTTTTGGGCGGCGACCATTAAGTCGTTGCGCTCTGATCGTGCGACATCGACAGCGAAATCTGGAGTGAGGTATTCCCAGAGTTCTCGCGAAGCTATCAGGATCATCTCATCTGTGTCGCCAAGAGTAAGGTTCATGATATGCGGCGAAGCAATGACCGATGGCGACATTTGAACGTATCCAAATGCTCTTGATACCTCGAGCATGTCGTTGAGTTTACCTTGTCGCGAGACAAACCCACCAGCTTCTCGTATCCTGGATCGCTCACTTGGCTCAGCGGGGTCATGTTTCCTGGTAAGGATCTTGTGTCCTCCTTCCGAACGGATCAATAGGGCTTGCGCATCACCAACGTTGGAGATGTAGAGCTCCATTTCTTTCAGGAACAGTACTGTTGCGACACTTCCCGATGTCAGGTCGTCGTCACTAAGATCAGGCACTGAGTTGCGCGTTTGTGTTGACGGTGCAGTGAGTCCGTTCTTGTCCAGACCCTGACTTGCAGCGGTAGCTAGTTCCTTGTTGAGGCCAAGGTAACTCCGTCGCAACGCATCCGACGGCGTTTCACTCGGGCGCAAACGGTCGAGCTCATCGGCGAACCGATTCTTGAACTGATCGTACAAGTATTTGGCAATTTTAGCTCCGCCCCCCGCAAGCGGCTGTGCGTCAAACAGACCCAACAGCTGTTCGTCATCGTGGCTGCGGAAGCGGGGCACGACCATGTCCATTGTCGAGATGTGTTCATTGCGACCCAGTGAATCGGCCATACCATACGCCATAGTACCCACAGCTGAACCTGCAGTGCGCACTCGCCGGTCCTCTGACTGTTCAGGGACCGAAGGAACCATCATCGTGACGTCCATCAGCCCAAGTACGCGAAGATTAATCAACGAGCTGAAGTCGGTCAGGTCGCGCCCCTCTCGCATACTCGTTCCGCCACCACTATACGAGCCGCTGGGTTTGATCTCGAGACGCTTGTTGCCTGACAGATTCAGGTATCGGAGTTTGTGATTCCAGTTCCAATTCCAGTCATATGGCCAATTCGACACGTTGTATTTCAGCAAATTGCTAGCCACATCAAGAACAGCCAACTGTGCAACCTTGCCAAGTTCGGCCGGCAGCACCTGGAACTTGTTGTTGTTGATGTGGAGGACCTTGAGCGAGCCAACTTCCTCCAGATCCTCTGCAGGTAGAGACGTCAGGTCATTGCCCGATAAGTACAGCTCGGTAAGATGTTGCCATCGTCGGATCGTACGAGGTGGTACATCATAGATGAGGTTGTATGCCAGATTCACAATTCGCAATTCGGGGAGAAGACACAGTTCGTCGAACACGTCGTCGTTCAGCCGGTTGTCAGCCAAGAACACGTGTCGAAGAGAACCCGCAAAGGTAGTCACCAGGCGACTACTAAGGCTGGAGTCTTTGCGGGACATGGGTGTCAGTGTCCCTTCGGTGGGCGCACGAGACGCTACTGATGTCTTGCGCGCCGTACTTGAAGTGTTGTATGACGCCATCGACCCCTTCCGTTGCGAAGAGGCAGCCGACGAACCAACACTCAGACCTCCTGATGCTTGACTAGGACGGCGATTCTGGAAGTCTTCCAATTTCCCCAGCTCCTCGTAACTGGGACTTGATGTCAAGCCCGGTGTAACAAGCGCAGGCGCTCCGTCTACTTGAGCTTGTTCCCCATTTGCTACTGGTGGAGGTGACGCGCCGGGTTTAGGGAACGTGGTAAGAACGTTGGACGACACGTTTAGCGTTTCTAATCGGCGAGCATACCAAAGCTCCTCGGGAAGCTTGGGCAGATTGTTCTCGCGCGCGTCCAAATAGCGAAGCTCCACCAAGCGACCGATCTCGGCAGGCAAGTCGTCCAGAGAGTTTCGAGCTATACTGAGATGCTCCAGCCTGTACAGCTTTCCAATGTTGGTCGATATGGACGTGAAATGATTCTTGTCGAGGATGAGCTTAGTGAGGCCAGTCAGTTTGCCAAACAGATCTTCGGGTAATTGCGCCAGTTTGGCGGACGCAAGATTGAGGGCGGTCAGTGTTGGGGTGGGCTGAGTGAGGCCGAAGCGTGTAACTGGGTTGTGGTTCATGTGCAGCACACGGATCTTCGGGAAATAGCCTTCAAAGGCTGAAATAGAGTTGTGGCCGATCATCAAGTACTCCAATCGGGGCAATTGGGACATGACATCCATACTATCAAGCGCGTTGAACCGCACGTCGATTTCTCGCAGGTTGACTAGATTGCTCAGTGTTGGAGGGAAGCTGCCGGTCAGTTTGTTGTTCGTCGCCCAGAGTCGTTCGAGACATGTCAATTGGCCAATCTTGGGCAGACTCGATATCGAGTTGAAACTGATGTCGAGATCCACCAGTGTCCGGACTTCGCACAAAAAGTCTGGGAATTCGTTCAGAGAATTCGAACTCAAGTTCAAACTGCGAAGCGCGCGATATTGTCCAAAGTAGTGTGGCAGTCGCGTTAGCCCGTTGTTGGAGAGTCGGAGACCTTGTAAACTTTGCAGCTTGTGCAATTCAGCACGGTCAAGAGACTGAAGGCGGTTGTTTGAAATGTCCAACATGGTCAGCCGGCTAGCAAGACTCAGACTGGGCGGGAGCCGTCGTGCGTCATTGCTCGTGTACTTGATCTCCCTCAGGTTGGTGCAAGCAAGGATAAAGTCTCTAGGTACGTCAAGTGATAGGTTGCGCGACAGGTTGAGCGATATTATCTCAGTCGCTTTTTGGTAGAGTGTAATAGGGATGGTGATCAGATTCCGACCTTGGAGATCAATGTGACTGAACTTTTGCATCTTGCTGAAACCAGGATCCCGTTCCAGACTCGAGTATCCGCTCATCTTGGCAGGGAGGAAGGTGAATCTGCAGAGGTAGCTGTTATCCTCCCGTCCGACGTCTTCGAGGCGGTCTAGATCCGTGTATCCGGCGAGTTCCAACAATCGCTTCTGGATCAGCAGCGGGCGCTCGTTACTTTCCAGTTGCCGTGAGGTGTCATGTTTCCGCATCACGATGTGGTAGTTGTCCAATTCGTCCTGCAATACGGTCTTCTTCCCTAGTATTTGTATGATTTCCTGCACGGTCGTGTTCAAGGTAGCTGATAGCGTCGCAAAAGTTGAATCGACCCTGAAGATGCGCAGACAATACGTCTTGTTGTCGCTCTCTTCCTTAGAAGGCGTTGTAGTCTCGTCGGCGTCTCCCAGCTTGTCCATCTCGTCCTTCATGCGCTTCACGGCCCAGGAGTCTGGCGCGTCCCACGCCGCGGTGCCGTCGTCATCGGGTCCTGGTACGGAAATGTCTTCACCGAGGTTCGGTGGCTGCTTTGGCACTTCACCCACAGGCGGTGTCATCGGCGGTGCCTGTTGAAGATTCACAATGCCTTCCATGTCGTCGAGATTGCTGTCCAGGAAGAAAACAGCATCGTTGCCTGCTGTGCTAGCGATATTATCGTTAGGGTCCCGTCCCGTAGGCTCGTTCGGAATTGCGCGCTTCTCTTTCCGGAAGGTAGGCAAACGGTGGTGAGGAGCCCGCATTCTCTGTTCCTTGGCCGCGCTCTCAACGCCATTGTTGATCGCCTGCTGTTTCGCCATGGTAGCCTGCCGAGCCGGCTCTGGCCTCGCGGATCGTGTCGTATTAATCGAAGGATTCAGAGAGGTGGCGGAGGCAGTTCCAGCAGCGACCAGACTCTTGAGGGTATCTCCCGGTAACGTGCGATCCTTGTCCTTGTCCTTGCCTCGCAACCGCGCAAAGAAACCGTGCGACGCCTTGTTGGTGCTGGGAGACCGTTGCGCTATCCTGTCATCTCTTGTCATATCCGAGTATGAGCTTGGCGTAGGGCTCGACGGCCGTCCCAGAAGGCTTGTCTTGGAGGCGAAGGCGGAGCTGAGGGCCGAGGGTTGGTTCGGTCGGACGCTGTAGCTGGAATCTTCGCGGCTGGTGGTGGGGCGCAGCGGGTAAGGCTGGCTTATGTCTGCGCGTCCGTCTGGGGCCTTGTTGTCCTCCTTGCTGCCCTTGTGCCGGTGGCCAGTGCCAGGCAGTCTTACGTGCAGCTTGTGGTGCGATCGACCCGATTTGGCAGAATGTTGCTCGGAGGAACGACGGCCGCCATACTCAGCGGGAGTGGGAACGTCCTGTGAGGGGTTAGTGATACAGGTCCGAGGTCGGCGGTGGAGTAGTAGGGCAAGAGCATGAGTGAGAGACGCAGTGCCTTCCTCTGGATGTGAACTAGACTCACCTTGGAGTCTTGGAACTCCCATGGCGTGACTTCCGAGGACGCCTGCGGGGTGCGTGGCCGGGAGCTGGTAGGCGAGGTCGGGCGCGACTGGTGCTTACTGCCAATTGTGTTGCTGAGGGAGTTGCCGCGATTGCGCTGCGGCGTGCCCAAGCTCGAATCCGAGTTCTGGCGGTCGTCGGCGGGGAAGTCCTCTCCGAAGACGTTCTGCAGGCGTTTGTGGAAATTCCGGCCCATGCTCGACTTGGAACCCGTGCTGCTGACGGTCGTGGCACTAGCTACCGACGGCCGTCTGTCGTCTTTCATGGGGAAGCCCATGCTGTCCTCTCTGGTGCCGGTTCCCGGGCGGAAGCCAGGCGACGACTGGGAGACATCCTCGTTTGAGTCGTTGAAGAAGCTGCTCCAGACGCTGTTGGTCATGTTGTTTCCGTTGGGCGCGGTGGACCAGGGCGCGACCTGTGAATTGGCGCTCGAAGCGGTGGGGGGGTTGCGCGATATGGACGGCACTCGGCCTCCCGAAGTCTCCAGGACAGCCAGCTGTTTTCGGTGGTGGCCAAAGGCGCTCGGCGTGGGAGCGTCCCAATTGGCAGGCTTGCGCGGGCGGTGCGAGGGGTTGTCTTTGGGCGGCGGAGCTGGGGGGACGGTGCCAGGCGATATCTCGGATTCCCGCTCGACACTATGGCGTGTTAGCAGGCGTTCGGTTGTCGATGTCGATGCACGTGTGGGCGTGAGACAGGCAAGACAGGCAAAACATGTCTCTTCCCGCGTCAAGACGAGACGAGGCCAGAGTCAAGGTCGAGGGCGCACAGCGCGCGCCGCCACCCCAGCCAGCGTCCATCTCGCACGGCACCAGACGCAATAACATACCGGGAATTGAGGTTCTTGTCCGTCTTGACGGTGACGGGGGTACCCCTCAGCGAACCCGCGCGTCCATAGGGCCGTATCGTGTCGCCCGAGCGCGAACTCCACGAGCTCTCTACCGAACCATGGCGGCCGATGGTCTCGTTCCTCGTCATGATGGCGGCGGGGGCGTGCAGGGTGTGAGTCGCGGCAGTGGCCCGCGTCGGCGGCGGACTGGGGTGGTGGGGACTGCTTGCGCAGAGTGGACGTGGACGGCTACTTCATCGAGGCGGGACAGCAGCTCGAGGTGTGCAACATGGGCGGCGGTCGGCAGCGCAGTGGGCAAGGCAGGGCAGGGCAAGGCGCGCGGCGAGGCGAGGCGGAGCGGGCGAGAGACTCGGGCTGTCTAGCGGCGGCAGACAGACAGCTGGAGGTGGAGGAGAGCGTCAGGCTATGGTGCGTGGTGGTGCATATGGTTGTGAAGAATGGCTGACTACACCCTCACTGACACTTCGGATGGAGACAGGCATGGGGGCTCCACTTTGCTATGGAGAGCGGCATGCTTTGCCAACAATGCGCCACCTGCACCCACTCCAACCTTGGAACCGACCAAGCACTACGGGGTCCTACCGAGCCTCCGTGCTAGCAATACTCCAGAACACTACCCAGAACACTAACCCAGAACGACGGCACGGCCGCATACAGCCACCTCGACAACGACGGAGACATGTATGCTTTAGACAGTGCAAAAGATGAGACCTCCACCTCCTCCTCCCTACCTATTCCACTTCGCTATGGAGAGCGGCACACTCTGCCAACAATGCGCCACCCACAGCCCACACCAACCGTCCCCAACCCACTCCTCACCCTTCCCTTCCGCTACTAACCCAGCTCCCACCCACGGAGCCTACCGAGCCACCAAGCACCCGTCCTAGACTTCCCAGCATACCAATCCTTCTCCGTATGCCCCCCGGCCTAAACCACGACACGGACGTCGCGCCGCATGCAGTCATGGCTAGGTATCGCGAACTACAGTTGCCGTGCTTTTACATTTTACCTTACATTTCATCTTACATTTCATCTTACGCGCGTTGTTTGCAGCATATGCCGATTCCAGTTCCGCTGTGGTTAGGTTAGGTTAGGTTAGGTTATGGCCCCGGTGCACCGAACACCGAGAGCTTGAACCCCCGCTTTTTTGGAACCGAAGCCACCACCACCACCGCCCAGACAACGACGACTACGAGGATAACCATCGTCCCGTCATCATCATCATCGCCATCCCTTGCTCCTGTCCATCTCTGCCTAACCATCCACATCATTAACATCGCATCATCATAGTACCGACACCCGTGTTTCATCCCAGAACTAAAATCATCAATAGTTTGGTTCAGAAGCGAATCCGACATTTGTGGCGTACAACCGAGCCACTTGCCCATACTTTCGCCTGTCCAAATACTAATACTAAAAACATTCCTGTTTCATTATTCTCCGATACGCTCGAAAGACTCTCGTTGGTTGTGCAGCCCCGGAGCTTATTTGCCGTATATCCCGAAAGCAGGCAGACGTGTAGACGCTGTTGTGCTACCACCACGGATTTAAACGACGCGTTCATTCGTGTGTATGCGTGTATGCGTTTATTTATACTTTTTTGCCTACTGCGCTTTGCTGCGCGAGACGCTGACGTGATGCTGTATACCGCCGCGGAGGACGTCAATGAACATATTGGCCCCAGTCCATATTAATCGCGCATTCTCTTCTTCATTGAGGGAGTCAATAGCGCTTGCACCAGACCAGAGTATTTCTACATTACGAGCACATATGCCCCTGGAGCATTGATGACTGATCATGAAGGTGTGCACTGTAGTCACATGCTACCACTCGCACATGCTTCTTCCGGCAGCCAGGCAACCGGGTCACTCTCTCACGAACTTGGCATCCATAGCAAGACCCCAAGCATTGATGAGTGATTATGAAGGTGTCCACGGGTACAGTACACTACGTGATCACATGCTACTCAGCGCTGCTTCTTTCGGCGACCGGGTCGCTTTCGCCTCATCGATTTCACAACAGACCACTCAGAGCATCTTCATAGCATAAGAAGCAATCATTAACGCTCGTACGACGCCAAGTCTATCTCACATCCCCTTTTGTGTAGTGACGCAGTCCTATGACCTGTCTGCATCCCGGGATTTGTTCCCAATACCAGAGTTGCATGCTTCGTGGAGCTACCTTCACGGATAGTAAGTGATGACAGCTTCTACGTGACATGCAACTCATACTGGAACGATATATATATAATCTTACAAAACACCTAATCCGAATCGATAAACCGTTAACATCTGCGTCAAAGTTACTGAGGAGCACCACCGCCCTGGAGAGCACGCAGAATATCTTGAAGCGACTGCTGCGCCCCAGCTTGAGCATTGCCCTGTTGAGGCGGGTTCGCGGGAGCAGCCGGCTGCGCATATTGCTGGTAGGGGTAAGAGTACTGTGCTTGTGGCTGAGGCTGCGGTGGTGGCGGTGCAGGAGCTTGCGCTGACATCTGCGGTTGTTGTGGTTGCTGTCCGCTCATGGTTTGCATGACCTGGAACCACTGTGCCCATGCTGCTAGATTGGCCGCTTGGTTTTGCTGGGGTGGCTGGGCTGGTGCTGGAGCTGGCGCTTGAGGTTGGGGAGTGTACGATGGCTGGTAGTTGTAGGCCGCTGCTGTTGCTGGAGGTGGAGGCGGAGGTGCGGCGGCGTAGGGGAGCGCTGGCTGTGATGGGCCGGAGAAGGGCACTGGCCAACCTGTGTTGCTGTTGTTTGCATAAGCGTTAGCATTTGATGGTCCAGAAGGTGCCGGAGAAGCATGTTGCTGCTGCTGCTGCTGCTTTTGAGGTTGTTGTGACTGTTGCGACTGCGACTGCTGCTGCTGCTGTTGTTGTTGGCGTTCCCGTTCCCTCTTTTCGCGTTGCCGTTGTTTGCGGTTCTTATTCTTCCCACCACCACCGGCTGGCGATTGCTGGGATTGGGCTTGCTGAGACTGGCCACGGTCCTGCTGGGTGTAAGACTGGCTGCGATCTTGCTGTTGGCGGGCTGGCGATGCCGAGGTTGCGGACCGTCCCTCTTGGTATTGGTTCCTCTGGTTGTTTTGTTGGCGATCTTGGAACTGCTCTGGTTGCCTGCCACGGTCAGATTGGTTCTTGCCGCCACGTCCACCCTTATCTCCGCCTCGGTTGTTCTGGTTGTTGCCGCCTCCTCGATCGCCTCGCTGTCCTCCACCACCACGACCCCCGAAGTCGCCACGTCCGCCGCCAAAGCCTCCTCTGTCGCCGCGTCCACCACCAAAGTCACCGCGACCGCCACCACCTCCTCGGCCACGGAAGCCGCGACCTCGATCACCCCAGGGACCTCTGCCGCGACCCATACCCCTACGGACATGGCTGCGATCTTCTAATGGTGCGCCTTGCCCAACAATCTGCTCGAAGTGATCTGGTCTGGCGAGCGGCTTGTACATGCCGAGATCTTCGTCTTCATCATCGCTGTATTTCAGACCACCACCCTGATATTCCATGGGTCGGTAGATGGGCGGTGCGGGAGCGTCGACGTGCAGTCTGGGCCCGGTTGGGATGTTGACAGGCGCCACTGGCTCGTCGTTGCCTTCTTGCCTGGCTCGCTTCTTAGCCTTCTGTTCGCGCTTGTATTCGGCCTCCTTCTCGTCGTCTGAGAACTCGACGTCGTTGGTCTCTTCGTCGTGGAGGTTCGATGCGTCGGTGTGCTTCTGTCGGCGAATGGGCTCTGTCTCGGTGAAGGTCGAGTGCTCGTCCACGTAGTAGATGGGTACGTCCTTCTTAATACCTAGAGTCTCGAGTTCAGCGGCATCGTTAAAGCCAAAGGAGTAGCGCGGCTCCTCCACGCGACCGATCTGCTCGGAGACTTTGCCGACAACCGTGCGGTTTTCGAGGCACAGCGCCGAGCCAGACTCGAGCACTTGCTCGTCGCCAGACATCTTGGCCTTGACAACAACGAGGTTCCCGACGATGGACTCCACCTTGCCGAGCTCTGTGATCTTGGTCTCCGGCGTGACTGTGATGTCGGGCATTTCGAACTTCTCATCTTGTTCATTGAGCGTCTTGACCTTGACTGGGCCGGACGCGCCTGGCTCGTCGGCGGCCTCAGCCATCAGGAGACGGACCTGCTCCTCGGGGTCGAGCAGCTCGCCCTCGTCTGAGCCCTCATCGGAGCTGTCGTCCGAGCTGGAGGAGTCGGACGATGAGTCTGAGTCGGATGCATCTGAGTCGAGCTGCCACTCGGCGCTCTGGTCATCCCTGTTGGCTTCGGCGGCGCGCAGGAACTCGGCCTTGCTATCGAACGCTGCGCCGTCGGGGGCAGGAGCATTTGTGGTGTCTTCAGTCTCGTTCTGGAGGTCTATGGCGGCGGTCAGGGCCGCGTCGAGCTCGCCGTCTGTGTCGGCAGCAGGTGTATCGGCAGCAGCGACGGCCTGGAGCTGTGGAGCCTCATCCTGCGCCTGGCCGTGATTGGCTACGGGCGGCTCGACTGGGATGGCGGCCTGCGGGCTCGCATCATTGTAGAAGGCCTCGTCATCCGAGAGCTCGCCGTCCTCCGGGGCGTCGTCTGGGACGACTGCGCCGTTCTGTGGTTGCGACTGCGACTGCGCGGCCGGGGTCTCGCTCACAGAGCCGAGTCCAGGAAGGTGAAAGGCCGGCGCGGGTGCCGCCGTCGCCAACAACGACGTCGCTCCGTCCGCCTGTGAGGGCAGCGCAGAGGGCTTGACGGGCGTAGTGTCGTAAAAGTCGTCGTCCATGTCATCGACAGGCGAGCCCGGCGCGTCGAGCGCAGATGCAGATGTAGATGTGCCATAAAAGGGAGCGTCCGCCTCCAACCGCGCCCTTTTGGCCGGTGGTTCCAGAGAGTCGGACATTGCTCGTGTCTCTCTCTGCAGTCTTCTCTGAAGCACGCGTGATGGCTGAGTTATCCACTGCGTTGTCTGCACCAGTTTGCTTAAATGCGTGCGATGATAGTTCTGGTTGAAAGGAGCGCTTCAGGGAAGAACGTCGCCTTTTTGGATGCGCGCTAACAAGCTTGGCGGGCACGCGCAGCTCAGCCCTATGACCGCGAGACCCACCGCGTCATTCTGTGAAGTGACCATACTCCGTACCTAGGTAATTCGATGGGGGTTGCCGTCACGTTCTGCAATTATTGTCGCTGACATGTCTACATCGCGCCCGAAGACGGCGCATTCAGCCCCTGAGTGAGTATCATGCGCCATGCCATAATCCCCAAGTATTCCACTCGATCACGGGCTAACGTATGCATCATGTGTCCAGTACACCACCCCATCTCTCCACGCTCAACATCTTCTGCGTGTTCGCCCTAGCCAATCTCACCGCCGCCGCCCTCTCGCCGATCCAAGACTGCGACGAAGTCTTCAACTACTGGGAACCAAGCCACTACCTCAACCATGGCTACGGCCTCCAGACCTGGGAGTACTCTCCTGACTATGCCATCCGAAGCTGGGCCTACACTGCTATACACTCGCTCGTAATAGGACTCGCTACGCTGCCTCTGCAGGCGCTAGGCTTAGAAAGATCCAAGGTGTTCGAGTTCTACTTCTTGCGAGCGGTCCTAGCCATAGTCTGCGCAGGATGCCAGTCTCGCATGTACACGGCTATCAAGAAGATGTTCGAGGTGCGCGTTGCGTCTTTCTTCGCCATGATCATGGTCATAAGCCCCGGCATGTATCACGCTGCCCCTGCATATCTGCCGTCGAGTTTCGCCATGAATTGTGCTATGCTTGGATTTGCGTCGTTCATGGACTGGTCCCGGCGTAAGATGAGGACTGCACAAGGTATTGCGTGGTTCGCCGTCGGCAGTGCTTTGGGCTGGCCCTTTGCAGGCGCGCTCGCCCTTCCCTTTATTGCGGAAGATTTCATCGCGGGCGTGTTCACTGGCACCATCAAAGAGAGTCTGCGTCGCATACTACTCCAAGGCGCACCTAGAGCCTTCGCTATTGTAATCTTGCAGACCGCCATTGATTCGCTGTTCTACAGGAAGCTGGTCTGCGTGCCGCTCAACATCGTACTATACAATGTTTTCAGCGGTGGTAGTAGAGGCCCTGATATCTACGGTGTAGAGCCGTGGCATTTCTACGTTCGAAATCTAGCGCTCAACTTCAACATCTGGTTCTTCCTCGCGATGGCTGCTCTCCCGCTGCTGCTGATCCAGTATGTCGTTTTTGACAGAGCTGTTTATCGGAATACGCTCACGAGGTCCATCACCTTTGTCAGCCCATTCTACTTGTGGTTGGCGATATTTACCGTCCAGCCTCATAAAGAAGAGCGGTTCATGTACCCAGCCTATCCTGCACTAGCCTGGAATGCAGCCCTCTCCTTGCACATCTTGTTAGCCAACTTTGGTTCGATGGATCCACGGCATCTAGTGAGCAAAATACCTCCAATGGTGAAGCTCGTCATCGTTTGTATTCCCATACTCGTGTCCTTGAATCTGGGCATCCTTAGAATTCATGGTATGTATCACCTCTCATACCATCGATCAACAAGCACTAGTGCCTTTGGCAGAACCTTGAATTGATCTTTAACACATTTCAGGTCACATGTCCGCCTACTCGGCGCCACTCAACGTGTACAAGCCATTGTTCGACTCCACAGTCTCCCACCCAGGTGATACCGTATGTCTAGGCAAAGAGTGGTATCGCTTCCCATCCTCCTTCAACCTACCCCAAGGTGTGCGCGCCAAGTTCATCAAGAGCGAATTCTCTGGTCTCCTCCCAGGCGAGTTCAGCGAAGCCGACGCCAGTCTTGGACTATTCCCCGGCACCTGGCTTATACCATCTGGAATGAACGATGAGAACCTAGAAGATCTCAGCAAATATGTATGTGAACTAGGGAATGAAGACGTGGATCTCACTAACCTGACGAAACAGACCGATCTCGAGCAGTGCGACTTCATCGTTGATACTCGCTCTGCTGGCGCCCCACCAACAGCGCTCGAGCCGGACTACATTTCCGACACAGAACACTGGAAAGCGTTGAAATGTCTTCCTTTCCTAGACGCAAGCAAGACCCACACCATCAGTCGCATGCTCTGGGTCCCAGACCTATCCATCATCCCCGCCAAGTTCCGTCGCCAATGGGGCGACTACTGCTTGCTACAGCGCAAAGATCCAAAAGGCGCATAGTACACACATATCAATACAAGTCCTAGTCGTCAGACACAAAGTGGGGGTAAATCCGGACACACTCCAGCCAGACAAGATCAAATCCAACTCCAACTCCTCTTCCCCACGGCATCACGGTGCAACTCCTCCAAACGCGTTGCGGAATTGTTGCGTCCCCAGACCACATCGCAGGCAGATTGTTCGGACGTCCATCCCTGTTATCGAGGCAAGCATCGAGGGACACCAGGTCTAACCGAGTGGGGTATTCCTTTCCCCGCCCAGACGAGATAACCAGCTACTGACGACACATGTCGCTCCGACCCCACAGTGTCCAGGGTCGTTATCGCAGAAGATCATTGGCTTGTATATATCGCAGAAGAATTAATAGGAAGTCGGTTTACATGTCGCGCATGATGTGCATGGTTATTGGGTACTGTGCTGTTTTGTTTGTGACTACTTATACTATGGACGTGACGTCCTCTCTTTTTCGTACTTGGACTTTGTAGTAGTAGTGTTGTTACTGGTGTTCATCATGGCTGCTCTTATCACCGACCTAGACGAACATGCCAGACGTCTTGCACGTGACATCCAGCATCACTGCACCGCCGCTCAAACCCGCCTCCACGATTTACTCCAAAACACAAACACGCAACCCAAAGCAGCGGTCTACTCCCTCATCCTCTTCGCCGTATTCATATGGCTCGCCGTCACTATCACGCGCCTGATCCGCGCCCGCTGCCACCCCTCCTCCCGTCCCAGCACCCCCAACCTCGAAAAGCGCTCCCCGTTCAAAGCCCCAGACCGGTCTCCAGGCGTATGGCTTCCCTCAGACTTCACCCGCCCCCCAGCAACGCCTTATCCCTCTTTCGACCTAAGCACCACGAAACCGTTACCGTATCGACCGTTTCGCCACGGCCCGAAGTACAACATCACGATGGGGTTGAGGAATATGCAGTGGGATGAATGGATTGAGCTGGATAATCAGTATATGGAGTTTCATAGGTTGAAGGCGGAGAGGATAGAAGAGCGAGGAGGGAAGTGTGTTAAAACAGCTCCGGAAGCGAGGGCTGCGGCGGTGGAGTTGTTCGAGGAACTATGCTCCTACCTACCACAACGTTATCCCACTGTCTTCCAAACCATCCCCACTTCCGAAGGTGAAGAGAGGGCCATGAAAAAGATTCAGAATCTAGCCACGAACGAAATCTTCGACATCGAAAGACTAGAAAGGAACGGTGTGGAGGAAGATGCGATGGCGTTGTGTGCGAGGTTGGTTCAAGATGATCTTGCGATCATGGTGGAGAAGGAAGATGGACAGTATTATTTACTTGCTGGTGCGATTCTGCTGGCGGGGTTTTGGAGGTTGGAGGATAAGTTTGGGATGAAGTTGAGTGAGGTGCATACTAGTGGGGATGTGCCTGGGTATGTTGTCTCTATCTCTTCCTCTACTCATTCCTCCCTCGCACCGACACACGATTCAGAAGCACACGCCCCTCCGTCAACGCACGATTCACTTACAATACTGAACCCCAGTTTCAAAACCAAGCTCGAAAAACCAATGTCCAATTTCTTCCGGCGAATCCAACCGCAATCCCCCGTCCTACGAAACAACTACTTCATCCAAGTCGACGACAACCTCGCGTGGAGCTCTAGTATAGGACCTGAAGATACAGAGGGAGAAGGCGGGATAGGCTGGTTTACAGCGGAGAAGAATAAAGCGGTTGAGCATCATTGGTTTAGGAGTGAGAGGCAGAGTTTGAGACGGTATGTTATCCGTCCTTATATCCATTTTGAGCTGTTTGTTTCTGTTGTGTGCTTTCCATGTCTTTCCTGTCTATGTTTCGCGGTTGTAGCAACTGACTCACTTCGACTTACTCACTTGAACTAACACGGCTGATCTAGACTCCCCAAAACCGGCGGCGTAGTCTTCACAATCCGGACCTACTTCCACCCCATCACGGAGATCGCACAGGAGCCCTACGTACCGGGTAGACTGGCCAGTGCGATCCGTTCTTGGGGGGACGATGTGAGTCGGTACAAGGGGAAGGAGATGTATGGGGATGTGCTGTTGGAGTATTTAGATAGGAGACATCAGGAGCAGGTGGAGGCGGGGTTGGATGTTGGGGCTGAAGAGGGGGTGAGGGGGTATCCCTTTTGATTTGAAGCATGAACCGGGTTTTTGGATGGGGGGTAGGCTGGGGGTATGTGATGCGGGTTGTCTTGTGTCTTGATAATGTGAAGGCTTTCGTGTGCTTCGAGGCTGCTGTAGTTCTTATTTCTTATTTATTGGGTTTGGATAGGCAACACATTGTATTGAATATCCAAGTCGTCGGTGTATTTGCACAAGCACTCTTTGAGATTTGCGGAAGGAGATGCGAAATATTGTCGGACAACGATCTTGCCCTTCACGACACATCTTCACCGATCTCGGTACATGTGATATGCACCGCAGATCTACCATCCTGTCCATTCACGCGTTCGTATCGAAAATCTCAGGGTGATTAGCTTAGGCTCGTCCCTTTTGCTCCGCCATTCGGGCCGGATAATAACGAGGCGAAGTCGGAGAGTCTGCAGGTCGTGCCGAATATAGAAAATTGTGCTGTGCATCAGGCAGTTCTTCGGTCTGCGAAAACGCACTCCACTACTGTCGTATCTGCTGCATATGGCTTTCAAGTGCTTTGGGTGGTGTGCTCGGCTTAGGTCGGCACGAGCTAGATGTACCGGCGCAGGTTTTGCTGTAAGGTGGGATTAGTGTGTGGGCGTCTGTGTATTCTTACAGGTGTCAAGCGGTGGAGGCCAGATGCACGACTTGACAGGTGGTACCATGGTTGATGTCGTGCAGTAGCTCGCGGTTTGATGGGCATCCGGGGTGTTACTATAGTGCGCTTGTGGGATTGCAGCCTGACGCAACGGGCAGAGATAATGTACGTGACAATGCGCGTCGAGTCAGCTTGGACGTTGGACGTTAAAATCCTGTGTAGTCAGTGTGGATGCGTAAGATTACGGCAGCATCTGTTGAAGGGAGCCCTGTTTCATAAGAGGGGTGTTGATGACGTTGCGCAGGGTCGGAGATGAGCCGCCTTGGTGTTTGCAGGATGCTAAGGGATTGCGATGGAGGGAAACACTTGTTTAGCGAGATGATGAGGGTGGCCAATGGCGGCGTTGGATCGCCAGGGAGGAGAAAGTACCGATGCAGTGGCAGATCGCGGCACTGGATGGATGCGTGGTCGCCTGGAAACGGCAGGACCCTGGTACAGGAGCGCAGGGCGAATGATGTGTTTATTGATTGTCCTATGCGTTGTTGTTTTGGCAATCTTGTGCGGCCACGGGGGTTGGAGGCCGTTGCACAACGACTATCAAGGCGGGTAGACCTCGATCAACCTCGATCAATGACCTCGGGATCACGGGGATAGCAAGTGGGAGGAACCTTATATTCACGTGGCTGGAAGCTTATCGCCCGGCAGCCGACGTAATATCGCAGTAGCATGGCAGTAGTGGCTTTGGGTGTCAGGCAGAGGCGCGTGGCGGCCGTTCGCAGGACGGGGACCGAGGGGCAGCGAAAAAGCAGTTCGCAGCTGCATTGGAGCGGGTTCGAGTGCGTGCGCGGCGATGCAAGCAGACGGGCAAACCTGTAATCACTTGGCCTTCCCTGTTCACCAGGCGGAGCAACGGAGTGAAGCGAGGTCAGATTAGCCCGGCCAGGCCTGGGTCAATGCAGGCGGCGTTCAGCCCAAGCGACACGGGCGCTGACTGGTGAATGGCCTTGCTATGGCGCGCGCTGGGCGATGTGACAGGGCTGCACATGAATCAACTCTAGTCGGCTTTCTCTTGCTACTTGTAATTAAGACGTCTGCACAGTCCGAGTCGTCGATGACAACTACACATATGTACCCGCTGAGCTGAAGTGCTATGGGGGAGGATGGCCCTACCGGCAATGCAACACAATGTCTTCCCTGCGCCGGGCTCCCCTGCTGAAGGGAAACGCGACATTTGGCCCGGTGCGGGTGCAGGTGCAGGCTCAGACACGGCAAAAAGGCGCGCTGATGATTCGCGCCGCCTGCGGAGGGTGAAGGACTCGAGGGAGCAGCTCAAGAGGAGGACGAGAGCACGCGGCACCAGCAACGCCACCATCGACACGACGACGAGCAACTCGACCTCGGCCGGCCGCAGCTACACGGTTGCGAACGTCCACAACGGCGTCATATACCTGAGGTACGTCGAGATTGGTGTTGATGTTCTACAGCCACCAGTAAACATCATGAACATGAGGAAAGAGCGACCAGTGGACGCAGCCCGCGAGGAAGGCGCACGTCATGCCTCACACGATCCCATGCCTGACCAACCTCAACACCAACCATCCGTAGATTCGTAGACTGACACCCCCAGACCTGTAGCCCGTCCTGGAAACCAGCGAGGCCGTCAACCAGACCCCTTCGTCTTCCCGCCCCAGACGCCGCCCGACAGCGCAACACTCGACAAACTCCGCCCGCTGAGCAATGAGTGGGAGCAGAGTCTCTACGGCTCGCGAACACCCCATTCGGAACCCACACCGCCGCTACCGGACCTGAGCGAGGGCAATGCCTTCCAGCAGCACTCCCAGGCCGATTCCGCTGGACGCCCACTCGCACACGCGCGCTCGCACTCGTTCTCCACCGTCGACGACCACACGGCCACGACGCTCAGCCACGAGCCGGGCACCTTCAAGGTGGTGATTGAGCGCCCGTCGCACATGCGCCCCAAGACGGCAGACACGTCGTTCCCGCTGCTGCAGGTCCCCATACCGCATTACCGCTTGGGCACTCCGCGTTTCAGCACACGGGGGACCGCCGACCTGCGCTCCTCGGTCTACACCCGAACCTCAGGCGCCGACGACTTTGCGAACTCGCTCCTGACCCCACAGCGAGGGGTGCGGCAGTCGTTCCTGTCGTCGCGCCCTCGATCAGACGCCTACTCGCCCGTCCCCCACCGCTTCCGCGCCACTATGGACCGCCCGCCAATGCCCCCCTCTGGTCCCTCTTCAGCGCGCGTCTCCCACATGCCTATTAGCCCCCGGCTCTACGACGCCCTCACCACCAACCCCGACGACCGCGCTGTTGTGCGCTTCAACGCCGACGGCGACATCCTCGCAGCCACCCCTTCACGACTCGTTGCGCACATCACTTCTCCCAGCTTCCTGGATTACGAACTCCTCTCCGACTTCTTCCTTACTTTCCGCGCCTTCCTCTGCACCCGAGACCTCGTCGCATACCTCATCTCCCGCCTACGATGGGCCGTCGACCGCCAAGACGACTTTGGGCGCATTGTCCGTGTACGCACCTTCGTAGCCCTCCGCCATTGGATCCTGAACTACTTCGTCGACGACTTCATGCCCTTTTACTCCCTACGAACCAACTTCTGCGACCTTGTCAACAGTCTGTACAACGATCTCCGGAACCGAGAAGATGGAGGTGGGGGTGACATTAAGATTGTCGGGGAATTGAAGAAGTGCTGGAGGCGGACGTGCGCATTATACTGGGAGATGGAAGACCACATTGGCCAGAACTTTGCGGACGACGAATTGCTCCCGGGCGGACACGATGGATCGCAGGCAGCATACGAAGAGCCTCCAACACCAATTCCATTGCCCTCGACTCCTCCACGAGCCAACATCCGGGACACAAAGGAGACCATCGGCTCAAATCCAAGCGACCACTTTGCCAGCCGGCATATGGACTGGGCGCAGAGAGCACGGCACACGCCGCAGAACTCCATGAGCTCGCCTTACATTTCGCAAGAATACGAGAACCACCAGATACCCCTATCGCCCGCCAGTGAGCAGAGCATGCACGTACTATCATGTTCAATACCCATGCGGCACAAACACGATCAGGCCGTCGAGCTTCCCCTATACCCCCACCCAGTACCAGTCACCAACCCAGCTCCCACAGGCACCGCTCGCCTGACAGCTAGTCCACAACAACCAGCATCCATCAAGAACGCTCACCGCCCATCGCATGGCCACAAGCGCAGCGGCAGCTTTACCGATGCTCTTCGAGACAGCAGGGCGCCACTATCCATTCCCAAAAACGCACCCGCAGATTTTGCCATGTCTGCTGTCACGAACATGCCCGGCACACTAGTACGTGGTGGACTCTTCCAGCCCAGCTCTCCATATTTCGAGGTCAGAGCTCTCCGCCCTTCACGGTCTCAGTATCTGCACGACATCGAAGATGCAGAAGCGAACGAATTCCAGAGACCCGGGCATGCGACTTCCCCAGGCATGAAGAAGATCTTCGGCAGTGTACGCCGCGCGTTAAGCACCCGGCAGCAAATGAGTCCAAGCCCTCAATTAGGTAGCGTTGGGCAACAACGGCAGCCGCCATACGTGCGAGCCTCCAATCCGGGCGCCATGTCTTCCGTCTCTATCTCAGGAGGCGTACACAAGCGACGTCCCACTCGACCAAAGCCCCAAGTGCGCATTGATGTCCTCGCCGCCGCAGTTGCAGAGAGTTTTAGAGCGGCTGTCCAAGAGCAACTTGAAAGTGAAAGTCAGGAACATGGTCTTGAGCCCCCTGATCTCGGTGGATTCGAGTTTGAGTTCGACAGGCGTGGTACTCCAACCCAGCAGGAGCGCCAGAAAGCACAAGACCCTCGCGTACACAGCGCCATCACCAGCGGCAGCAAGTCGATAGTGATCATTGATGACACCGGGCCACCGCCCGTGCCCGTCATATCGGACACCCTGGTACCCGATCTCGACAAGGTAGCAACAAAGCTGGACAGTCATCAGCAAGAAGAGGCAAATAATGAGCAATTGGCTAGTGAGCCCGTTGCCCCAGTAAGGCATTCTGAGCTCTACGACGATCCAGAGCCTCGCCCAGCAACAGCAACAGAAGAGCACCGCTATTCGCGAATGTCGACAAGACGACCCACCACCAGACAAACAAGGAGGTCTATCTCTGCGGGCCCAGAAAGGATGCACTCCTTCCGACGCCGGGGGTCGGCCAAGAACTCCCTAGGGCGGGCAGGCTCTCTCCGCCGACATGCATCATACAACAGCGTGCTTAGCAGACGTCAAGGACCCGCGAGTATTGCTACATTCCAGACCATGTCATCAGATAACGATCCCTTCTTCCTCGACCGCCAGCCAGCGCCTGATGCTAGCGGGCCCGGACGCCA